CCTTTCCCACAGCAGGCCAGGGACAGAATCTCTCCCATCCGCAGCACCGAGTGCCTGCGCAGCACTTAATAGGCTGTTGCACAGTCGCGTGGCTTAGAGGGCACTTAAGTTGAGAGCCACTGTTTTGGAATTTCTAATTAGCGAACATAAGAATGGCCATACTGGATCAGACCAAAGGTCATCTAGCCCAGTATCCTGTCTACCAACAGTGGCCAGTACCAGATGCTCCAGAGGGAGGAAACACAACAAGTAGTCATCATGTGATCCCTCTGCTGTCATCCATTTCAGACAAGCAGAGGCTAGGGACACCATTCCTATCCATACTGGCTAATAGCCATTGGTGGACCTAACCTTCATTAATCTATTTAGCTCCTTTTTGAACGCTGTTAAAGTCCTACTCTTCACAACATCCTCTGGAAAGGAATTCCTTTTGTTTGTTTTAAACCTGCTGCCTATTAATTTCATTTGGTGACCCCTAGTCCTTATATTGTGGGAATAAGTAAATAACTTTTCCTTTTTCACTTTTTTCAAACAAGTCATGATTTTATAGATCTGTATCATATCCCCTCCCCCTTAGTCTCCTGTTGTCTAAGGTGAGAAGTCCAAGTCTTTTCAATCTCTCTTCATATGGGGCCCGTTCCAAACCCCTAATCATTTTAGTTGCTCTTTTCTGAACCTTTTCCAATGCCAATATATCTTTTTTGTGATGAGGTGACCACATTAGTATGCAGTATTCAAGATGTGGGCATACTATGGTTTTATACAGAAATAAGATATTCTGTCTTATTCTCTATCCCTTTTGTAATGATTCCTAATATTCTACTTCCCTTCTAGAGATGGGGAAGCCCACTGTTCTGAGTTTTAAAGGAAGAACATGAAGGGGAGCCACCTGCCGCCCTGCGCTGCTGCCTCTGTATTTTTAAACCGGTTCCCCTCACGGACCAACTCCTGCTTGTCACCCTGCACTTGGGGGCTCCCCAGGAGTGGTGCCGGGAGTGCATTAGCTGCTGGCCTCATCCCCAGAGGCATCAAATAATCGTGCAATTGTTAAGAATTGTTAATTGCCTATTTGCACCGATAGTCTTCTAATTTCTTTGCATTATTTATAAAAGTTTGATTGACTGAGCATAAAACTGGGATTTGAGCATAGAATTGAGCATTCTGGGTTCTAATCCCCAGCACACCAACACCAATCCTTTGTGATCTTACGATGCTGGTCCCTTCAAATGTATGCCTGTAATCAGAGAAACCCAGAAGGCAGGTCTTTGGTAAGTGTCTTATTATCAAATAGTGTCAGGGAATGAAAATGTACTGTTTTAGTTCAGGAGAGAATCATGCATTGCTTCCCATGAGACATTTCATATCTAGGGCTGTCGAACAAAATGTAACTTTTTCATCAGCCACCTGAGAGAGTTTGAATGAAGAATGTTTCTGAAATAATACACACACAATAGTCTAGGATGGATAAGTAAAGGAAATAAGATAAAAATATGCTTGTCATGACCGATCAAGACTGAAGATAGTGTCCCACAGCAATCTGTTTGCCAAGAAATAGTCACGTTCCGTGCAGATTCTGTTCTTCCAGATCTGTATATATCAGAGGATCATGCATCCTGTCCTTGCAACACTTAGGACAAGAGTGCAGAGCTGTGCAGGCTCCATGCATCTGCAGAGCTCCTGGGACTAGAATGCGTTTGCAGCCGGGAAATGAGTGGGTACTTACTTAGCACCCACCAGCAGCCAAGCTCCCTCCCTTTTTCCAGAGCCTCCCACCAGCCAGCAGCCCTGCTGATCAACTCCTCCCCCTCCCTTCCAGTGTTTCCTGCACATTGCAGAACAGCTGTGAGGGAGGGGGAGGAGTGTTGGTGAGGGATGCACTTGGGGGTGCGAGTGGGAAGGAGTAGAAGTGGGGCTTTGGGGCAAAGGGTGGATGGAGACAGGGCTAGGGTATGGATGTAAGCGACTAGTTGATTATCTGATAAACAAATGCTTTTTGGATAGTCAAGTAGTGACTTGACTAGTCACTTCCTTCCCTTCCCCCCCCCCCCCCCCCCCAGGGGGGGGAAGCAGGATCCTGTGCTGGGGGGAGCCAGTTTAAAAGCTGGTTCACCGCAGCACTGTCTCCGTGGGGAGAAGAGGCAGGGGCGCAGAAGGGAACTGGCAGCGCTTCCGCCTTTGAAATGTAGCAAGAGCAGGGCTCTTGCTAAACTTCCAAAGCAGAAGCGCTGCGGAGAGCCTGCGGTGAGCTGGGGATTCAAACAGTCCCCCGCGGTCCTGGCGGCACTTTGCTTTTGAAATGTACAAGAGCCCTCCCGGGACTCTTGTACATTTCAAAAGCAGGGAGCATGGGGCCAGCAGGGGACTGCTTGAGGGCTCTGCTAGATTTCAAAGGTGGAGGTGTCCTCATTGACTAATCGAATAGTCGATGCATATTAGATTGACTATTCAATTAGTTGATTAAATGTAACATGCCTGTGGTAGAGTAGGAAGAGAAGGGGCAGTGCGTGGTAGGCATTGAGCGCACTTTTGATAGGAAGTTAGTTCCTATGCCACACGCCCGGCTTGAAGTGGTTTTCATTATGTATAGGGTTTATAGTTTCGTTCAATGGCTCTCAGCACTCCCTCCACAGAAATAGCTCCATCAGCCCTGTGCAGCCATGGAGTCCTAGGGCTGGAAGAGACCTCAGGAGTCATCAAGTCCAACCCTGTGCCCAAGGCAGGACCAACCCCAACTAAATCATCCCAGCCAGGGCTTTGTCAAGCCAGGACTTAAAAACCTCTAGGGATGGAGATTCCACCACCTCCCTAGGTAACCCATTCCAGTGCTTCACCACCCTCCTAGTGAAATAGTTTTTCCTATTATCCAACCTAGACCTCCCCCTCTGTAACTTGAGACCATTGCGCCTTGTTCTGCCATCCCTCACCACAGATGTCAGACAGCTAGAAGGGATGCACAGGTTTGTGGGATTTTTTTTTAAAGGTGTGGA